GATACCATTGATCACATAAAAGGTGGAAGCTCCTGGTTCAATCTCATAAATAACTGGGATCTCTAGAATATTGAATTTCATGCAAAGTAGTAATGATATTTACACTGCTATGTATTAAAACTGATGAAAATTGAACATTAGGTGAGAAGGGAATTACTAGCCTTAAGGTTTGTAAACTGTAATGCTAGGATTGGGAAATTGGTATTTGTTGATACCTTTTGATTGTGGGAGGACAGAAAAACCTAGATCAAAAACTTAAATGTTTTATCTGTAATACTACTTTGTGACCATTTTGAACCCTCCAAGCTATCTTAGAGGGGAAAATATGGTTGGTTTTGTTTAAAAGTAACATTGCTAAGTCTAATCAAATGTCATCTTGGGTCGAGCCACTTTATCCATTCCCATAAGGCTATTGAGAAAAGTCATGTAGTTGGTGTCAATACAAGTTCATGGTTTCCAATCTAACTTTCTGTGTTGTCTACAGTTATTTTTCTCATCCTGCTCAAATGACCCTCAAGATCTCAACCATTCCACTAACTTGCCAGGCTACCAGTTGTGCCCACTTTAACATTCAACATTCCACCACATTTTGTTTGCATCATGGCTTCCAGTAGACTAGGCTTCTGTTTCCCAGGGTGGGTTTGAGTGTGCAGGAAATATGGAAAAAGGAATTGCCCCAATTCTTGGTTTGCTCTCTTAATAGGTGGTTTAATTTTGAAATCTAATTGCTGGTTTCCTTGAACCAATTTTTCTCGTATTTTCTTCAAGGGTCTTTTGAAAGGCTCACCTAAATGATTTTCCGAAAACATGTAGCAGGCTCACAAAACCTAGAGACGTAGATTTCTTCCCACCCACCTCAAAATAAAATCTTAAACCGTATTTTGTGTGTTGTAGAGGTTCAACTATACATATAGAATAAATGTCATATTAAACAAATGGACCTGCTATCTTTTGTCATCTAATGGATGCTTTAAAGCAAACCAAATAACCCACAAAAATAAAATACGTGATGGCAGAAACATTCCACAGTTTCAGGGAAAATAAGTGTGTAGTGCTTAATCTTGGGTTTTTCTTCCTTGGTTCTTTGGTCCTTGCATGAATTCGAAAAACTCATTTTTTTCCCAACTATTCAGGGTGCTAATTTAGGGAGGTGGGGGTTGATTCAGACCAAAGGCCAGCATTAGGTATCTCCCAGAAGGGCTTGCTCCTGTCTTTGCTTACCCTGCCGTTAGTCTCCACACGCAGCTAGAGAGAGCGGGAAACTAAAGTCTGTATGAGTATCTTCCGTGATTTTCCCACTCTGCCACCACATGATCGTGTGTCCTGCTGTTCTCATTCTGTGTCATCCCATCTTTCTTGCCGTTTCTCAGACACACCAAGCAATCCTTCTAATGCCTTTATGATGGGAAAACACAGATACTTAATGTCACCAGAGGCTTTCCCAGACTACTCCACAAGCTGCTCCTGTGTAGTATTTCTAGAGCAGCAAATGACACATACCCGAAAGGTTGTTAGAATTTTCTTCAGAATTAGAGCAAGTGGTTTCTTACAACCCCACAAGATGGAGGGTCTAATTTTAACTCACCCCCTTTGTCAATGAGCACAAAGATGAAGCGATTTGCTCAGGGTCACACAATGGCAGTCTGAATTCATGTCCTCCATGTGAACTTATTTTAAATTTTGATTAGGCAATACACTGACATGGCTGAAACATCCCAAAAGATAAAAAAAAGGTCTACAGGAAAAGTCTCCCTGCCCCCTAGTTTCCCCTTCTGGAGGAATCAGTGTGATCAGTTTTTTTTTCCCGCTATCAGGAGATACTTTAATAAATGTACAAATATAATACATATGTATTGTTTTCTTTTTTGCCCAAATGGT